CATGAAGAGATGGACGAACAGCAGCCTGACATAGTTTACAACCACAACAAGAGACACAGCCTGCTAATTATCTATTCCAGCCAACCTTCACTGTGGGGACGGCACCTGGCTGATTGACTAGAATAAGATAATTATCATGGTATGGGACGTCGCAGGTCGACCCAGCCTCAATTGGGTACCAGGATGGGCTGTCCTGGGAAAGTAAAGACGACCGGCGTAATGCTGACCACATTACCCACCGAGTGCCAATTGGTCTGTAAAAATATTGGTGCTCTTACCATATGCCCAATGCGCATAAGGACGTGTAAAGGGATCTTTACTTTACTTTACTTACCTTTTGATTACCTGACACTGCTAGCGGTATCTGTCACAGTACACTGCAAGTGAGCAGCCAGAAATAAAAGCTTGCCACAAGGTAAGCTAGGAAACTGCTAATCTAACAATCTACTCACACACCCGCTTAGCTAGCTGTGTTGCAGACTGTATATCCACCTAACCGTTGACAAGCTTATGTCAGATATTGTCGCTGTATTGGTGGCGATAGTAGGAGTAGTAGTGGTAGTAGTACTTGTGGTTGTAGTAGTAGTATGAGAATTTGCTGTTCGCTAAACAGGAGTGATGAAGACTTCTTTTCATCTAAATTAGTAATGATAAATAATTATCAGTACGAAGGTTGAGGATTGGTCTAATATGAGCATGCAAAGTTTTTGAGTAGTAGGGAAAACAGAGTATATGACGCTGTGTGTTAGTTGTAGTAGTAATAGTAGGATTAGTACTGGTAGTAGTAGCAGTAGTAGTGGTGCTGAAGGTCGTAGGTATAGTAGTAGTTGTAGTAGTAGTAGAAGAAGAGTAGTAATAGTAACAGTTGTAGTAATAGTTGTAAAAGTAGTATTAGTACTAGTAGTAGTAATATGTTTAGTAATAGTAATAGCAGCAGCAACAGTAATAGTTGTGGTGATGATGGTGGTAGTAGTAGAAGCTGCAACAGTACTAATGGTAATAAACGATCGCAGTCCCTATGTTGAATATTCCATCCGTACCTTGTCAAAAAGTTTTCAATTTATCGCCAACTTTTTTGTAGACTCTCGTGCTTGCCCAGACATTTCTCTTATTTCTTAACCCTTTCTGAAATTCATCAGTTTTATGTTTTTATTTTGTTTCTAATGCGTTTAACTCTCTTTCCGTGTCTTTAGCAGTTATCCGACTTTTACTGGCATATACTAAAATTGAAAAACCACTAGAACTGAAAATATGTAACGTGGTTCCAAAACGGTATAATTTAGAGTTCCTTATTTTGTTCAAGATTTTAAAAGGTGCTGATGAGAAGGCATGGTACCAGGAAGGAGGGGCAGGGGCCGACCGACACGAAGATGGGCACAGGATATAAGTGACTCCTTGAATGTGAAAGTGCATGAGGCAGGAGAACTGGCGAGAGACCGAGTTTCTTTCAGCCAGATTCTGATGAGAGCGACGTTCTGCAAAGGACCTGCTACTTGATGATGATGATGATTAGTAGCCAATGCTTGCCGTAATAGTTTTCTTTGTGTTTCTTTGACTATCAGTATTTAAAAAAATTGATTTGCTATGTTAATTCTGTTTATCTTTATTTATTTTTACTGGTCTTTATGGTTACATCTTCCTAATCTGTTACTGGTGTCTTCAATATATGTGTCCTTTCATAAGTTATCTGTAGTCCAACATTCAAGACTGTTTTTCATAAATCGTATGTTTTTCTTTGCACCTCATTGCTGTTCTTAATTAGGACAATATCATGTAGAAAATCGAGATAATCCACCTGTGTGTTTTTCAACCTGTCAATACCAGCACAAACTTTTCTCAGCACACAGTCAATAGCTATAACAAATAACAGGGAAGGTAATACACATTGCTGTTTGACATCGGTTTCAACTGCAGACCATGCACTTAAACCACTAATTGTTCGTGGGTGCTTTATTAGTATCCTACCCCAGATGACGTCACATTACAGTCCAACATTTTAGAGGGTTGTAAGACTGGGTTTCCCGGCTTTCTGACGCTTTTAACGACCCCAAAACATCAAGAACTGGCCCTAACCCCAAAACACCTTCGTCCAACGAGAGAGTGCAGCCTAGGTCCAACGACTGCATGAAGCCTATCTACCACCGCCTGAAATATTATAGTCCCGTGACCTGTGGATTTTCCCTGTTTGGTGTAGGATATTAATAAAGCACCAGTTCGTATTACACAGTCTGACCCGTGATATTTTGCTCTAATAATATAAAAATTTTTTTTTTTTTTGGTATACCATAACCTTCAAAAATTCCCCACAATGGTGTTTTGTGTAAGGTTTGAGAAGCTTTCAGATCGATGTAATTCAGAACTAAGGTTTGTAGTTTTTCTACAAACACCTCTATAAGACGTCTCAAGGTAATTATTTGATGAAAACAGCTTCTTCTCGGCCAAAACCCTACTAGTTCCTATCTGAGGAAATTATCCACTATTTCATTATGTCTTTTGAGAATTATTTTACAAAAAGTCTTTAACATTCCGTTATTTTAGAACCCCCCCGCCCCTTTCTGCCCAGACTATCTTAAACCACGTCTGATGGTCAAATCATTTGCTGACCTCAAAATCTTTGCAGTATTATCATCATCAGGTGATGCCTTATTTTTATAACGAATGTATCACTTCTTTGATTTCCATGTCATTGATGTGTTTTATATATATTGACAGTATGGTCATTTTAGCCTCTTCGTCAAAATTCATTGGTCTTTTTTCACCTGTATCAGATTTTAGGCGCCATACTTCTAATGGGTCCACACTGCCGCAGTCTGAAAGTTCTAGCTAATAAGTGTTTTAATCTATTATACACTATTTCAATATTTTCGCTCTTGGCTACCGGTTCTCCTTTGTCAGCTGGTCTGTCAATATGTGCTCTCTCTAGTCATCAACCGACGTAAAACTAGACAGAAGGTTGACCAGAGAGATTCACAATGTAACAGAACACCAACGGAAAGGGAACTTTGCGGCTATAGAGCCTTTATCAAGCACATTACGTAAATCAATAAACTACATGTACAGGCATAAATACACAAAGCTGACACTGTCAGAGAACATGTTCAGCATTTTCAGGTGCCGAGTTGCAGGGCACGTCTCTGTGTTTCTTACACCGAAAATGGTGATCATATGTTGACGAACTCTATTGTGCCCTGTCCTTTGTCTAAATATAATCTATTGTCCCTCTTAGAGAGGCGATAAAGCGAATCTTGAGGAGAGAGTTTGGTGTTGGTATTCAGCCATCTTTCTTGAACACTTGATATTAATAATGTCTTAGTCTCTTGGTGGCTTGTCGCTATTTGGTTGTACCATATCACTACCGCTTCTAGCCAACCTGTCCGCTATTTCCTTGCCTTCCAAGCCTGGAATCCACTGCAGTACAGACTGTTCATCTGTTATCGCTGAGTTTAAAACTCTTTTGTCTGCTTCTGGGCACAGAACTTCACTCAACCCTAAAGTATTTAAGTGGCATCCCATTAGTTCTTCTCCTACATGTGTTGATCTTGCTACCTGCGCCATAGACCTAGACTTACTCCCACCATAACTAGTATGTCACAGAAGGCGACCAGTAACGGGTTTGTTGATTTTATATTTTTGAGCCAAAAGGCGCAAATATCGCAGTTTAGCTGTAAACCACAATGCAATATGCTAATCGCCTTTTTAAAGACGAGTGCCTAAGAAGACGAATGACACAAGATGTGTGATCAATCAACATCATACGGGCGTGATCTGATGTTTTACACGGGGGAAAGGGGCGGGGGTGGGGGAGGCTTTGGAGGGGGTGAGAGTACCGATGGATCTCTTCGGAGTCCTGTGATTCCCATATACGGTTCGATTCTCAAACTCGGGCTACTTCCCAAAGACAGGTTTGCGTTGGTTTCGACAATGGTATCTTAATCCGAGCGTTCAAGTAAGTAAGTAAATAGGTAAGTAAGTGAGAAGATAAGTAAATAGGTAAGTAAGTAAGTAAGAAAGTAAATAGACAAGTAAGTGAGTAAGTAAGTAAAGGACTCTTTTCCACGCCTTTAAGCCATCGACATGGCTGCTTCGAGGTACGAAGATAAGTGATATTGCGTATTTGTGTAATTTTGATCTAATTTGTGTAGATGCTGATGAAAGCTCCATGGCCGCAACGTTCACGTTTTGATTGGTATATGGTGAAGCTCGCCTATATACGTTTCGTTCGGGTTTAAATCTTTTCTTGATATTCAGGCATACTGGTCACATAGTGTTGGATATATATTTTATAGACACATTTTATAGGCACTTGGTGGGTGACTTCGAGCGTTTAAGACCAATGGCAACCTTTTAAACGTAAAACTGAGTTATAAAATCACAAATTTCCCAAATAGGCAGGAATATATTCTGCAACGTCATTTGAAGGATAGGATGTTATAAATTCCAAGCGCTGCAGTTACCGTACAGAGGAGCACGCAAAAGAACATGACTCCTTATCCCTGTCTAGACTGATGGACATGGGAGTGCAGCCTGGAGCTGCAAAAAATGAACATTTCACTAAGTGGACAATACGTTTTATTAACCAACCTAGAACAGGCGTCATCAGTCGTTTTACAATTGTAAAGCTTTTAAGGAGGAGATCGGAGCACCTATGGATCTGTCCGGAGTGCTGTGATAATAATCCTTTCTACTCACTTATCACTAATCACTATGTAAATGCTACGCAACTATTAAAAAAAAAAAAAAAAACCAGACTAGAAAGTGAAGTGACAATTTTAGACTCTTTTTCCTCAAACAAACAATTTATTGTCTAGAAATCACAGACTAACTCGACAAAATGAGTTACGTTTTACTGACTGTTTTATATATAGCTTAAAACTTCTTGCAGAGAAATAGTGCCAAATGTTATCTTTGATATAATGGACTAAAACAAACTGCAACAGATTGGAAAGCTTTTTTTAAAACGAATTTCCACCTTGTCGTGTGCTGTTTGAATCGTCTCGAAGTCAACGACCCTTCCTACTTCTGCATCTCTTTCCAATGTATCTGTTTAAAAAGAGTAAGCAAAACAGTTTAGAATAATAAAAGGGACATTTGCGTTAACTACTCTACGCCCTTAACTATATAAAACCACGAGGGCTCTATAATTTTGAATTACACTACGTTATCTTAGAAAACTAAAGAAAATTTAAGTTAATTAAAGCAGAAGTTGACGTACACCCAGTTGATCGTTTTTTTTTTCAATTTAAATAGGCACACAAATTAAATAATCACCTGAGATAATTTATCAAAAACAATATTAATGAAATTGGAAAACTACTGATTTATTTAAAAAAAAAATACATTAAACGAAACTTGCATTTGTGAAAAGCAAGGAAGATTTTTAAGACCTCTTGAGATTATGACGTCCTCCCCTGTAGCTTATGCCTTAATCCAGAACTGTCCGTCTTACACTCGCCCTTCTAATGACTTTTCATATACCAGTTGTGCATAAACTTGTATATAACTATTATTGTAAAATTTGTGTAAATGTATAACTGTATATAGAATTTAAAGAAAAAGAAGAAAAAAAAAAAGAAGAAGAAGAGGAAGAAGGAGGAAAAGAAGAAGGAGAAAAAGAAGAAGAAGATAAAAAGAAGAGGAGGATGAAGAAGAAAAAGAAGGATAAGAAAGAAAAAGCAGAATAATAATAGGAATAATAGGACAAAGAAAGTACAAAAAGAGGAAGAAAAAAAAAGAAGAAGTAGAAGAGAATAAGATGAAGGAGGAGGAGGAGGAAGAAGGAGGAGGAGAAGAAGAGGAAGAAGAAGAAGAAGAAGAAGAAGAAGTAGAAGAAAAGGGAGAAGAAGAGAAAGAAAAAGAAAAAGAAGAATAAGAATAAGAAAGAAATAGCAGAATAATAATAATAATAAAAAGAACAATAAGAAAGAAGAATAAGAAGAAGAAGAAGCAGAAGGGGATGAAGAAAAAGAAAAAGAAGAAAAAGAAAAAGAAGAAAAAGGAGAAGAAAGAAAGAAGGAAAGAAAGAAAGATACAAGATAAAGAAGAAAAAGAAGGAGGAAAAAAAAAGGAAAAAAGAAGAAGAGAAAAGAAAGAAAGACGACGACTTATAAGAATAAAGAAGATGAAGGAGAAGAAATAATAATATTAATCCGACGTAAAATTCTGGACATTAATATTTTTATAGAATTTGAGAGTTGCGTGCACATCCGTTTAACATGCTTGTCCTAACTGTATGCAGACTGTTGGTTCCTCACCTCTCAGGTAGATGCACTTCGACTTCTAAGAAAGCTTCCAATTAGTCGAATCTTACGACTTGCTTTTGGGTAGGCAGTGGGTCTATTCTTGTTTTTCTCACAATGGGGCCCCGGAACCCACACGGAATAATAATAACGTATGCAAGGAAAAGTTTGACATAACACCGTGGCATGAAACAGACAGATCTGACACAGTGACCCTACCTTCGATACTCCTCTTTGGACTTGAGACCATTTCTGTCTTTGTCAATCAGTTTGATATCTACTTCATTATCACACGGAGAGACCTCTCCATCTTCATCAATGTCTAAAAAATGGAGAACATCGTCTTCTTTCCCTGGGGATTGTTGCAAGAGAAACAGTGAAAATTCATGACCCACCTGAGGTAGGGCAGCAGACGATAGAGGTATGCCTTCCCTCCAACAGTCATCGTCATCCTCACACCATTATTATCATCAACATCATCATCATCATCACTCATTTCCACTTCAGCCGTTGAGCGTCGTGGGAACAGTCTGGGATCCATTGCATGACTGGCAGCAGCATCAACTGTTACACAGTGCGATGGTATTGATGTCTTTATTCCATCTTCTTTTAGGATGAATTGTTACTTTCACGACAGATCTTTTCATTGTATCGCCTACGTTGGTAGTTTTGTGCCTGCATTATTACTAGATGAGAAAACTATTTGATCTTCTGTTTCTCAATGAATTTGCAGCCAGCTGTTGTTTCTACAGTCTGCCTAATAATATAATTTCTAACTTCGTCTTGGAGCTGGCGGCTTTTCTAAGGCGTATAATTTACCTAGGATTTATTTTACGTGGTTAGCCTTTGACAATATCCAAGTCTGGCACTGGTAGCACAATGTTGGTATGAATATGCTGTTTATATTCTGTTTCTTGGCACCCATACTTACGTTTGGATGTTTTTATAACTGTTGATAGTCTGTTTCTCTTTTGATCCGCATAATAAGTAGCTTAATTGCATTTTTTTGGCGTATTCGAAATATTTAAATTATATCGATGATCCTCGCTGCATTGAATCTTAAGAGTTATACAGCATCAAGTTCAAAAGTAACCAATCGATCGCTCAAAAAGCAGCTGGTGTTTCTTGTGTTTTACGTAAACTCTGAACAAGTCTACACTATGGTGAAAAAAAATGTCACGGCGCGATATTAAATGAGTGTGCTGAATCGTTTCCAAGTTTTGCTTTGTAAAGGCGTAACATATGTGGTTAGGGTTGAGGTAACTGACCTCGGTACAGTAACATATGTGGTTAGGGTTGAGGTAACTGACCTCGGTACAGTAACATATGGGGTTAGGTTTGAGGTAACTGACCTCGGTACAGTAACATATGTGGTTAGGGTTTAGGTAACTGACCTCGGTACAGTAACATATGGGGTTAGGTTTGAGGTAACTGACCTCGGTACAGTAACATATGGGGTTAGGTTTGAGGTAACTGACCTCAATGCAGTAACATATGGGGTTAGAGTTAGGGTTGAGGTAACTGACCTCGGTACAGTAACATATGTGGTTAGGGTTGAGGTAAGTGACCTCGGTACAGTAACATATGGGGTTAGTTTTGAGGTAACTGACCTCAGTGCAGTAACATATGGGGTTAGGGTTAGGGTTGAGGTAACTGACCTCGGTACAGTAACATGTGTGTTTAGGGTTGAGGTAACTGACCTCGGTACAGTAACATATGTGGTTAGGGTTAGGGTTGAGGTAACTGACCTCGGTACAGTAACATATGTGGTTAGGGTTGAGGTAACTGACCTCGGTACACTAACATATGGGGTTAGGGTTGAGGTAACTGACCTCGGTACAGTAACATACGTGGTTAGGGTTGAGGTAACTGACCTCGGTACAGTAACATATGTGGTTAGGGTTGAGGTAACTGACCTTGGTACAGTAACATATGGGGTTAGGGTTGAGGTAACTGACCTCGGTACAGTAACATATGTGGTTAGGGTTGAAGTAACTGACCTTGGTAAAGTAACATATGTGGTTAGATTTGAGGTAACTGACCTCAGTGCAGTAACATATGGGGTTAGGGTTAGTGTTGAGGTAACTGACCTCGGTACTGTAACATATGTGGTTAGGGTTGAGGTAACTGACCTCGGTACAGTAACATATGTGGTTAGGGTTAGGGTTGAGGTAACTGACCTCGGTACAGTAACATATGTGGTTAGGGTTGAGTGAACTGACCTCAGTACAGTAACATATGGGGTTAGGGTTGAGGTAACTGACCTCAGTGCAGTAACATATGTGGTTAGGGTTGAGGTAACTGACCTCGGTACAGTAACATATGTGGTTAGGGTTAGGGTTGAGGTAACTGACCTCGGTACAGTAACATATGTGGTTAGGGTTGAGGTAACTGACCTCGGTACAGTAACATATGGGGGTTAGGGTTTTGGTTGAGGTAACTGACCTTGGTACAGTATCATATGTGGTTAGGGTTGAGGTAACTGACCTCGGTACAATAACATATGTGGTTAGGGTTGAGGTAACTGACCTCGGTACAGTAACATATGGGGTTAGGGTTGAGGTAACTGACCTCGGTACAGTAACATATGTGGTTAGGGTTGAAGTAGCTGACCTCGGTACAGTAACATATGGGGTTAGGTTTAAGGTAACTGACCTCAGTGCAGTAACATATGGGGTTAGGGTTAGGGTTGAGGTAACTGACCTCGGTACTGTAACATATGTGGTTAGGGTTGAGGTAACTGACCTCGGTACAGTAACATATGTGGTTAGGGTTGAGGTAACTGACCTCGGTACAGTAACATATGTGGTTAGGGTTAGGGTTGAGGTAACTGACCTCGGTACAGTAACATATGTGCTTAGGGTTGAGGTGACTGACCTCCGTACAGTAACATATGGATTTAGGGTTGAGGTAACTGACCTCAGTGCTGTAACATATGGGTGTGGTTAGGGTTAGGGTTGAGGTAACTGACCTCGGTACAGTAACATATGTGGTTAGGGTTATGGTTGAGGTAACTGACCTCGGTACAGTAACATATGTGGTTAGGGTTAGGGTTGAGGTAACTGACCTCGGTACAGTAACATATGTGGTTAGGGTTAGGGTTGAGGTAACTGACCTCGGTACAGTAACATATGTGGTTAGGGTTAGGGTTGAGGTAACTGACCTCGGTACAGTAACATATGTGGTTAGGGTTAGGGTTGAGGTAACTGACCTCGGTACAGTAACATATGTGGTTAGGGTTAGGGTTGAGGTAACTGACCTCGGTACAGCAACATGTGTGGTTAGGGTTAGGGTTGAGGTAACTGACCTGGGTGCAGTAACATATGTTACCTAACTAAAATTATATTGTGATGAAAATAAAAAATAAAACGTATATTTCAACACAACTGGACAGTCAAAAAATATTATGTATAAAATATTATTTTTCTTCTTAGCGTTCGGTTTCGTACGCTCAGATCAGACAATCAGTTGGGTTGCCTTTATGTCAGTAGCAGGTCCTTCATGGTTCCCCATAGCTTGCTCTGGACACTTTGCTCTTGAGGCCACGAAATTGTAAACAGATTATAGCTTTAGTATCACTGTATTTATGCAACTCAGTAAATAAAAAAAAAAAAAAAAACGGTCTTCACAGCATGCATTAAACACTGTTTAGTTAATGTAATACCTGTTGGAAAAAGGGGGGGGGGTGTGAGGGGAGTTAAAGAGAGAGGGGATGGGGATTTGATAGTATCCAAGTCTAGTGTGGTACCGTATGCCATTGTGACCGCAGGTTTGAACAGTCACGCCCAACTAGCCATGTGTGCTCCTAAATGTTTGATCAGTCCTCTAACTGAACATATCTAGTGATAACTATCACATACCAAGTCAAGCCTTGATATACACCTGAACAGTTGGTTCTTCATTTGGGAGAAAACTAAACAGGTTCCAGTGGACTAAGAGGTGAAGAAAAGACGCTGGCGTTGTACAGGACATACGTTGAGAAAACAATATATCTAGAATGTCTTATCACTGGATCCCATAGGAGTATAGAAATGAAGAGAGAGAGAGAGAGAGAGAGAGAGAGAGAGAGAGAGAGAGAGAGAGAGAGAGAGAGAGAGAGAGAGAGAGAGAGAGAGAGATAGAGAGAAAAAAAACCCACACACACACATATGGAGAAATGAGCTAGTGAGTAAAGTTAAAAAAACGATGAGGAGGACATGGTGGAGAGCTGCATGCGATAGCGAAGGATAGAACGACGGTGTAAGTTGGTTGAAGGCCCATACTCCACTGAGAGTTAGAAAGGCAGAAGAAGGAGATATGTTAATTTAACTCTATAGTAATGCAACTGACGAGACACACCGTTGTAATTTTTCTTTTGTGTTTTTATCTTTTTGTCTGTTTCCGGCACTGATAACACAGGATCGGCAAGAAGGTTGTATCATGGAGCGCTCTTCTGGTTTCTACGGACACATGTTTGTGTCTCAAAGTCGGTGCCATTCGCCCAATGTGTTGGTTTGCTCTATTACATCTAATATCTTTTTCTGACTTACCAGCTAATAATATTATGCTTTCTAAGTATTTGAAGTTCTTGAGGGTAACAAGTTATTACTATGCTTTGTATTTTAACTTCAAGGAAAATCGAAGGCCTTTTTTTTAAAAAAGAAAGATACCTGCCAAATCTGTGGACATAAGATGAAGATTTTCTTTCATTTCTTGTCTGGTCATAGTTCCGTCTTTGTTTGTGTCGATTAGCTGGTCAGAATATGAAAGGAAACACAAATGTACATTTGGAATTGTGACAAAAAAAGGTCGGAAACATCAAAGACGAGACAAGACATAAGCATTGTACCTGTACCATGACCAATATTATCGTCATCGTCATTATCATCATCATCGTCATCATCATAATGTTCTTTCCTGAGAAGCGTAAGCTATAAAGTTTCGTCATCTCATACGATCACCAGAATCACGAATCGGGTCAGTGTTCCTATCCAGCTCTATGCAGATGGCTAAGCCGTCCAGATAGTTCTCTATTTGCATTTCTTTGCTCTTTTTCCACATACAACGCCAGTTATTAATTCTTTCTCATATCATGTCTGTTAAACATTCACTATAACTTAAACATCGACTAAAACATAAACATCGACTATAAATTAAACATCGACTATGACTTTAACATCGACTATAACTTAAACATCGACTATAGCATAACTATCGACCATAACTTAAACATCGACTGGGGGCCACGGTCTGTGTTGAAAACCGGGCGGCTCCCCGGGTTCACCCAGGCTCTATGTAATAGGTACCAGAGTTGACACTTTGGGGTAAATAGAGGAACGTCGCTGTCGCTACGGAGTTGCGTGCGGACGGCGACACAGGCGGAAAGTTTCTTATCAGCTGTCTGTAATGGTGGCAGAGCACTTATAATAAAGCTGGTTCACATCTCCCGACTTTACCTTATATCTTTTTAAACATCGACTATAGCATAAACATTGACTAAAGCATATAATAGCCTAAAACATAACTATCGACTAAAACATAATCATAGACTATAATTTAAACATCGAATCTAACTTGAACATCGAATTTAACAAGGCACACACACAAACACACACAAACACACACACAAACACACATAGAGTAGTGAGTAGAAATTTCCAGCAGCAAGACAAGGTGTCCCATTTTGTCATTTTTATTTTCCATCATCGTACTGTGTCGTGGATTTGTCACAAAGTACTCAATCTATTCTACCAATCATTTTCTATCTAGTTAAACGTTTTCAGTATTAAAGGAATAAATTCCAGTCCCGCACTTGTGGTCTCTCTCACCAACGTTCGTCTTGGGTTTCCATTGTCGGTCATCGCTTCTTTCGTCTATTTGCTTCTTATCTCAGTAGCTTTTTGGCGATTATCTTTAAGTTTATTTCCAAGCTGTGCCCAGTATAGTGCCAACTTCTTTGGCTTGTCACTGTTGACACTAGCGGTTCTTGAGTAATTCTGTGTTGTTCAAGTGCCAAAATAACATATACAGAATCGCGCTCGCACACATACACGCACATACACACACAAACACAGCGTGACAGTGAGAGGTCAGGTGGTACCTGGTGCAGAAAGTAATTTGCCACCACTCCTCCTACACACACAATCATACACACACACGCACACACACTTTTTATTATGTGAAAAAAAACCCAAAACATTTTGAATGGAGACGAGGGATGTTTGCAGCAATGAACCTCTGAAGGTCCAGGATTGCTGTGGGGTGGGAAGAGAAGGAAATAGTGAAATACATACTGTTGAACTGACAATATGTAGTTAAATATTTAATTCATAAGAAAAAGGATTATGAAATATTATTGGTAAACACTGGTTAAGTAGATGTATATATAATGTTGGAAAATCGTATCAATTCTTTGGAGATGTGGATATACAGAAGATTAGGTCGTATTTCATGGAAATAAAAGCTATCAAATACAGAGGTAAAGAGGAAATTGGGAATGAAAAGAGAGTTGCTAGGTGAAATAAAAAAAAGACAAGTGAATTTTTTTGGCCACATTAAAAGACATAACAGTATTGCAAAGATCATCCTAGAGGGAAAGGTTCAAGGTAGGCGAGCAAAAGGTAGACAGCGTTACAAGTGGGAGGATAACATCAAGAGATGGACGAACAGCAGTATGAGTGAGTGTACATCAAGGGCAAGAGACAGGGCTTGTTGGAGATCCATTGCAGCCAACCTTCATTGTGGAGATGGCACCTGATTGATTGATTGATTGATATATAACGTAGAAAATAGATAGTAACTTTGGGTCAAAATGGTACATATATATAATTTAGAGAAGCAGACAGAGAAAATATGGGGTAGACTGTTGTGGTTTTTTCTTGGCAAATTTACGTCTAGTAGTTTGCCATTGCTTCCTCGACGGTCGGCTTCTCGATATCACTGACGAAACCAACACAAGACTCAAGCCCGCAGTTGGGATCGAACCCGGCACCCCGGCATTACGAAACGCGTCCGCAACACCTAAGCCACAGACAACGACATAGGGTAGATACCGGGTAAATACATTCATAATATATAAAAAAAAAGGTGAAAAGCAGAATTGTGTAATTTAGACACTGCAAATAGATATATGTAATTTAGAAAAGTAGACAGAGAAATATTCTTGAGCATACACTGGGTAAGTAGATATGTCATGTTAGAAAAAATAGATAGTGGCAGGTTACTGCATAATTAGAGCTGTAGTATGGAAGCTACCTACAGCGATTGTGGCTTGCACTTCCGACATATCAATGTTGTCATCGTTGCTAGTGTCAACGGCGTGAAAAAACTTCCAGATGGCTTCCTGGTTACATACTGCCAGAGCGGCTGTTGGCAGGAAAATCAGGCAAGCGTATATGAGCATGGCTACAGCTTCTGCTTCTTCATCTGAGGATGTACAAGTTAGCATTTGTTTTGTGTGTGTTTATGACTTCTTGGCTATATCGTACTCGTTTGTTCGTTCCTTTTTTAGTTAACAAAAATAAGGTTAAAAACAAAGTTAGAGAGAGAGAGTGTGTGAGATAGAGATAGAGAGAGAGAGAGAGAAAGAGAGAGAAAGAGAAAGAGAGAGAGAGAGGGGGATGGAGGGAGAGAGAGAGAGAGAGAGAGAGAGAGAGAGAGAGAGAGAGAGAGAGAGAGAGAGAGAGAGAGAGAGAGAGAGAGAGAGAGAGAGGAAAACAGACCACATTAAACTCTGTTCTATGTAAGCTTCGGTTATATTTGTCGTAGCAGGTATTTGTGATCTTTCTTGTTTTCTTCGCTGTGGCATGTGGCGTTCTTGTTCTTGTATGCAACCCGAATCCGTTGGGTTCCAGCCTTTGAGGTTTCTGTGCTTCTGAGGGGGAGGGGGTTTCCTGCGAGTACTGAAAAGGACTGTGCCTGCTGCGTTCCTGGTCTGCTGGTTTGTTACTCTTCAAATGACTGTTGTGTCTTTCCTCTTCTCCTAGTTCCGAGCTGTTAGGTTCTGCCGAGCTTATCCTGTTAGGATGGAAGACAGTATATGTTGGGTGGACACAGCTGCTATGATTCTTCTTTTTGGTTTACTTCTTCTGTTGGTTCATCATTTTCATATTAATACATCTCCAACATCATCATCCCTATCCACTCATTGCGCGAAAAAGGTGCATGGTGCTAAACGATATTTTTTTTTATATCGACCACGGCACTTAATGGGTGATATAGAGAGCACCATACCGGCTGAATTTAATTCTTAGGACGTTTTCCAGTAACCCATGCAGGATAAATCGACCCAGGGTGTTGAGGTAAGTTCGTAAAAAAAAAAAAAAAAAAGAATAAAATAGAACGACTGGATACAGATAAAAACTCAGGACCTCCACTAAGTATGAAGGTGTCTAGCCACTGGGCAACCATGGTTCCAGTTCAACCCCTGTGAACATCACACCACGATTGAATATCGTTTGGGTAATGAAAATATGATTCTATCATCGACCCTACTGTACCATTAACGTAAAAGAGTCTCTAATGTTTACTTAACGTATGGTAAGTGTTATTGTCACATAGCTACAAAGGTCTGTACCCTAACTTTCAAACAGTTCTAACCACAGATACGACGACACAGTGCTCTCACCTAGTCTTGTGTGCATAATTTTTAGAATCAATCAGACGGCATATTTATACTCTCAGGGCGACATGCTTGTGTGAGTCCTCCATCACACGTGATTGACTTTTATCAATCAAATACAACGAACACTTGATCACCGAGATGAAACTAATATGCCTTCTGTAGTATCATCAGCAGATCTTTGTTAACCCACAGCACAGGTGTGAACTGAAAGTGTCAAAACAACATGTTTTTACAACTTTTTATTCGGTTTAAAACAAAGAGTCTCAGCCTATTGTAAGGTAATCACACAAATTTCAGCCGAAAACAGGACATCGTACTAATATTTTGAGCTAAAAGCGGGACATTCTACTAATATTTTAAGCTGAAAACAGGACGTCCTGCTAATATTCTGACATGAAAATGGAACATCCCACTTACGTTCTGAGCGGAAAACGTGACACCTTACTAATATTTTTATCTGAAAGCGGGACATTGTAAAATGACATTAAGAACATGAGCACAATTATAATTCCCTGCCTTTGTTTGAACATCGGTTACTTCGTTACCGTCGGGTTCCTGTGTTGCTGCGAAGGGCTTACCGGGATTTGTACAGGTAGGATTCTCATCCATGAAATATAAATCTTGCGGACTACAATCCAGAAGGGGACAAACTGCAATGCAATCAGCACATAGGATAGACCGTGTTGTCGTTTAGCCAGGGCTTTGTTAGCCACACGCAACAGTAAAGGTACTAGCACTTTTTGGCCATTTTTAATCAGCGATGGTGCAGTAGGCACTTTGTGGTGAGTACCGACACGATTTTAAAGACGCTTTTTTGGTAAGTACTGGCAGAAGCTGACTGACTGGACAGGCCTCAGGCATGCAACCATGAAGTCCATCGCAACTGACCTCCGAAAGTGGACAGAGATGATCAGACAGTCAACAGAAACTGGTGAACCAACGACACGTTGTGTTACGGGATGATGATGATGATCACTGGCACCCCCACCCACTTTTTTTTTGGGGGGGGGGGGGGGGTAAAAAGAAATATATAGTTGCACAGAAAATTATCGTTCTCTAAAAGTAACGGTGAGTTAAACGAAATACCGCTCTGGTCTCAAGGCGTATCGAAAGGAAACTACAACTGCAA